GCTGCACCTTGGCCCGTGCTCCCGGCGTCAGGCTGCGGTAGAGGCGGCGGCCCTGTCGGCCAGCGTTCCAGATGGTGAAGGTGGCCCAGCGTGGCAGGGCCCATTCTTCCAGGAAACGGACTCGGTGGCTCCAGATGGTGGTCCTGTGGGGAGGGCATGACCAGCGGGTGGGCTCCAGCCCCAAACCGTCATCCCTGACCCCTCTGTTCTCGTCCCCCAAGTCCGTCCCCTCAGGCCTGTCACCCATTCCACGTTCTCTGGTCCTTGTCACCTCGGCTGCCGGCACGCGGCGGCCCAGAAGCTGATGGAATGCGCAGCATGCAGTGAGCCCGGAGCGACAAGGCCAAGGTCGCACCACCTCGTCCCCCTCACGGCCCCACGGGGACCCTGAGACGTGCTGTTCTCATGTCCACACGCACAGGACGTGCGGGCCCTGGGCACAGGCCCTGGGGAACCCAAGGAGACGTGGCCACCCTGACATTAGGTAAACACAGGCCGAGGGGCCTGGCCACCCCCCTGGCCACAAGGTTCCGTGTCCTGGGAAGTCGCCCAAATGGTGGGGGTCTTCTCCAGGCGGGGCCCTTCCATGGCCTGTGCCGCACGCAGACCTGGAGGCCAGGCCTGGCCCAGGTGGCCTGTCACTGCCAAGCCCCCAGCTGGGTAGGGAGGCCATGCGTGAGCCGTTGCAGTTTAGCGCAGACAGACGTGAGCCTACAGCCTAGGAACCTGGACGGTTGGGGGTTTCTGGGGCACAGTGGACCTAACTGACCAGGGTCCTCCCCAGAGAAGCCTTTGCGCCGAGAGCGGGCTGCACACCATCTCGTGAACCACAGGTGACACAGGAAGCGCCTTCCATAGGCCCCACCTCGGTCCTTCCTGAGACAGGCCGACTCGCCCCGCTGACAGCTATGTGCCCAGGGCGCATCCCCACAGCCCACCACTGCCCCCAGCCCTGCCTGGTGTGTCACCAGGTGACCAACAGGGCACCCCGAGGGAGCAGCTCCCGGGCTCGGCCAGGTGGGGCACTCTTTCTGTTGGGCAGGCTCTGATGGCTGGGCGGCCGCCCACTTTTTCCTGCATACTCAATCACAGCCATACTGGGTGGCCACGATGTGGGGGCAGGGCCTGTGACGATGCTAACTCTCAACCCCGGCCATGTGGCACTTCACGTGCAGAGCACAGGGAATGCACCCCGAGCTCCTGACACTTCACGCATGCCCAGCCACAACTCACAGCGTCGCCGAGAGAGGAAGCCATCCCTGAGGACGAGCGGTGGGCTGCACATGTGGGTCAGCTCGCTCACTGACCACAAGCGAGGGGAGACGGCCACGGCGGGTGTCACATCTGAAGTCCCCCTTGAGGGGCAGGGGCAGTGGGACACCGCGTCGGGCGGCACCGTGTGGGGTCTGCCCTGGAGCAGGGTGCCTGGGCCAGGCAGACACGGGACGTCCTGGAACGCACGTCCTCTGCCGAAGGACAGAGCGGATGGCACCCGTGCACCGTGCCAGCTCTGTAGATTGTTCCGGTGGGCACGGCCGCGTCCATGACTCAGACCAGGCACCTGATGCAGACTACGTGAAACTCCCATCGAAGAGCCAGGCTCCTGTGGACGTCTACAGGGATGAGGCGGTCCCCGCCAGACAGGTCAGTGCTGCCGGCGGGACGGGGCGTGAAGCCTCAGGGCTGGTGGAGCGGGCTGGGAGCAGGGAGGATGTCCCCTCAGTGGTCTCTGTGGGGAGGGACAGCTCTGACCCCTACGTCATGCTGCCCGTGGCTCAGATTCCCACTGTGGGTCTAAACGTGAAGAGAGGGAGGCTCGAGGAAAGAGGGTCTGAGCGGCCCGGACATGAGTGCCGCCCCTGACCTGCCGGTCCCCGAGGGTCTCCGTCCTGAAACACCGGCTTGAGGGGCCAGCAAGCGGGAACCTGCCGCGGCCCGTCTGTGCCGGGCGGTACGTGGAGCGGCATGTCCCCTCTCCGGAGCCCCGTGCCCTGCACCCCGAGCTCCGCCTCAGCAGTCCTCCGCAGCCCCCCGCGACCTGCTGCAGGAGCCGGTGTCCTCCAGAGTGGCGCCTGCGGAACGGACACGTCACTGCACTAGGTGACAAGCATCGACACAGACACAGCTCAGCTGGGGCCAAGCAAAAAGGTAGTTAGTTGTAAGACACAAGCAGGACGCTGCCGCCAACGTGACGCTCTGAGAGGCAAGGGTGGCGGGCTGGGGACGGCTCCGGCTCAGCACAGCCGTTTTTTTAATGCTGATTGTCCATTTTCAATTTCATCATCGTCCACTGTTCATTTCTTTCCTTCTATTCATTCTGAGTTTACTTCGCTAATATTCTAGTAATTTTTAAAAGTGGAAACTTAGATAATTGCTTGGTTTCTTCTTTTAAAATACAAACTTTTAAAGCCTCAGTCTTAGTATAGACTCTGCTCTAGCTAAATTTCACAAATTTTGACATACTGTTTTAATTTTCATCGAAGTGAAATTTTCTAATTTCCTTTGTGATTTTTTTTCCCTTGGTTGCTTAATTTCCAGCTGTTTTGGATTATAAAGATGGCTTAATGATTTCTAATTCTGTATGGACAGGAAACATATCCTGTATGATTTCGGTCATTTCAAATTTGTTTGGATTTGTTTTTTGGTCTGAAATGGCGTCTGTGTCGCGCCTGAGAAGAGTCGTATCCCGTAGCTGAGTGCGGGGCTCCATGACCGCGGTTAGGGATCAGAGCTGCTCAGTCTCCTACCGGCCCCTGAGGTAGGAGCGTTCAAACCGACTGAACCCGCGGATTTATCTATGTCTCCCTTAATTCCTGTCAGTTTTAGCTTCGTGTAGTTAGAAACTGTGATGCGGGACACACACACGCAGGGCAGTTCTGTCCTGTGAAAGGGCCTCTTCCCCGCGTGTGCGCATTGCGCGTGCACTCCGTCAGGTGCGTGACGAGGGCATCTCACACGATGCTCCGCTAAAGCTATGGCGCCAGAATTCAGATTTAACGAGAGACAAGGAAGTCACGCTCTTTTGCTTAAAGCTGGAAAACAGGCTGAGCTCTCGCACTGAAGACGTACACAAAAGTTCGAGGACCCTCCGCATCAGTACGGGAGCCACCCTCTGGGACCCCCCCCACGTGACACACGAATCAGCGCCACACCACTGACAGTGACACCGCCCCCTCCGTGCAAGCGGGCACTGGACAGGGGACTCCCAGCCGAGAAGCCGCGACCTTCCAACAAGGCTGCGTGCAGGGAAGGCAGAGTCAGCCCGTCCAGGAGACTGCGCTGCTCCCTGCGCCAAGGTCTCACCTTCAGAGAGCTGACAGCGGCCTGCCTGAGGGCCCCGCTCCTCCCGTCCCCGAACGTGAACAGCGTCACGACGGTGAGGGCCTGAGGGGCACCTGCGTGAGAAGAGTAGCATGCACACGCACACATACACATGCACACGTGTGTGCACAAATGCCACACACAGTTCAAACTAAGGAAATACAGACACACCCTTCCCGTTCCACTCTGCCTGCACCTTCCACACCTGTCCTGCCCCAAGCGCCACCTGGCACGGTGGCTAAGGCCAGTGGCCTTGGGGCCTGGAGGACATGTGGGCCGCCCAGTGAGGGCAGAGGGAACAGGGAGTGGCCAGCCTCCTTGTGATGCCCAAAGCAGGGGTGGGTCAGCACTGTCCCCGGCAACCGTCCCCAGTCAGGGGAGAGGGCACCCGGCACACTGGGGAGCACGTGAAGAATGTGCAGGGCTCACCTCAGCGTCCCGCTAGCTCAGTGCAAGAAATCCTCACGAGAGTGCAACCTCACGTAATCACGCGCAGAACTAGGACGTGGCCCTGGCCAGGCCCTGGCCGGCCCCTCGTGGCCCCTCGCGGCCCCTCGCACACCCCCGCCATGGGACCTGGCCCTAGCCAGGGGCCTCGTACTCGAGGATGGAGTGTGTGGCCGCCCTGGGGTGGTAGCGGTAGAGGAGCAGGCTCTGGTCCACACGCACGACCCCGCCGCCCTTCCTCAGGTGGTCGTAGAAGAACAGCAGGTCCTCGGGCACACCCTGCGGGCGAAAGAGACCGTGTCCACTCATGGAAACCGGCCGTGCCCCTTCAGGGCCTGGAGACGGGGTCCTGCCAGGGTCTAGGCTGGCTCGATCCTCGAGGGCACAGCCTGCGACCACCACACCCAGCTGCCCCAGCACGCAACGTCCCTGGGCAAGGGCGACCCCACAAAGCCCCCCAAGGTCGAGGAGTGGCAGCGGCCTGCACTGCCCGCACTCACGGCCCGCTGTCAGTCCCACACGCGCCGGGTGCTAATGGGGCTGCGCCACGGGCTCCATGGGGCCTCTGCTGGCTGCTGTCTTGTGAGACACAGCCCTCAGCCCCCGCGCCAGACCCGGGGGGGAGGGCGGCCCGCCCACTGCGCGCCGGGGCTGAGCTGCTGCGGCCACCCTGCTCCTCAGCCGGGCGTGGGCGCCCTGGTTCTCAGCAGTGGGCGGAGCTCAGGGACAGCCCAGGGACCCCCAGACCCCATTGACGGCTGCAGGTTTCCTGACATGCCCACGGCCGCTTCTCACTAACTCCAGCTGGTCCCATCTGTCTGGCCGGCTCGCAAAACCAGGGCCCAGTTCAGCCGCGGGAGGGCTGCCCACAGCCGTGCCGACTGCTCCCTGTGAGCCCGTGGCCACTCAGCCTCGGCCTTGCCAGGGCCTCTGGGCCACTGCCGGGCTCCCCAGTCCCTGAGAGGAAAGGGGCTCAGCTGGCCTCCAAGGTCACGGCACGCAAACAGCCCGGTGGTGGCTGTCACTCTCAGGGACCATGGGACCCTTGGGCAGCTCCTCACCAGCTCTGGTGACTCCCTAACCCCTGGAACCCTACCAGGCCACGGCGTCTGCACATGGGCAGGGCGGGGACCCTGTCGGGAATGACGGTGCCTCTCCCAGCCCGAGGACTCCACACTCACCTGTCCGCCCTCGTCGAACAAGCCCACGTGGGAAAACCATGCTCGCGAGCAGAACCAGGTCGGCATGATCACGGTCGGGCCATGGGAGGTGAAAGCCTGGAAGGGACCGACATCGCAGAACTGAGAAAACAGCTCGTCACAAATGCCACAGCGGCATTCACGAAGTGACACACTGCTCTGCGAGTCCCTTCTCTGTAGGTGCAAGGAACTTCACTGCCAGATGAGCGGCGGCCAGCCCACTGCAGAGGTGGCAGGCGGGGCCGACCGGATGTAGTGGCTGGGTCCAGTCCCCTGGGTCCAGCCCCCCCGGCCCCTCCTATGACTCGTGATGAAGCTCGTGTGAAAATCAAAGGAAACACACTGATTTTTATTGTGAGAAGAAAAACTAAGACAGCACAGGACAGAGGGGACCGAAGTGTAAGAGCTCAGTGTAAGACAGTGGGGCAACCTACCCTTCACAACCTCGCGTTAGGTGACAGGTTCCAAGATAAGTCACCAGAAACACAAGCAACCAAAGGAAAAATAGGTAAGCTGGACTCCGTCAACAAGTCAGTTTTTGCACCAAAGGACACCATCAAGAAAGTCCCCAGAGAGCCTTTCCTGGAAGTGGCGAGGGTCGCCACGAGCAAGCAGGCCCTGTGAGCTCTCCTACCCCACTGCCCGCAGCCTCTGGGGACCAGGGGACCAGGGCAGGAGGGAGGGCTGTGCTGCCTGCTGTGCCCACAGGCCGGGGCAGCAGGAGCTCTGGAAATCTGCCAACATGGCACAACAGCCCTCTGAAGATGCGGGGTACAGTCCACGAGGAGGACTGAGGACAGATGGTGGCCCCAGGCTGAGTCCCTCTGAGGTGCACGGCGTTGCCAGTGAGCTTCCCGTTCTCTGCGCTGTGAGTGGCCGGGCTCGACAGGCGCCCAGGGCCTGGGGCTGTCCCTCCCTTCCGTGGACAGAGGCCTGCACTGCCTCCCTCACCATCCAGATCCCACTGGCCCCCCAGCGAGGGTGGGAGGCCAAGGACAGAAAGATGCTGTACGTGGCTGTCTTCCTATAAAGCACTGTGTCTCTTATTTTCCCAAAGACTTTCATTTCACTTTGGTCATTTTTTTCCCTATAGAGAAACACTGTGACTCTGTGACTCCAACGTGCTAAAGACCTCCCTTAAAGGCCTATAGCAGGGGCACCTATAGCGCGCCCGGCCCCGTGTTCCCAGGAGCCCACGTGTGTGCACCCTGGAGCCGGGGACCTGGGGTGGGGGTCGGGTGCCTGGAGCGAGACAACACACCCCCACCCTAAAAGTCATGGAATTTCAAGGGAACCAAAACAGCCAAAACAATCCTGAAAAACAAGCAGAAAGCCGGAGGACTCACATTCCCCAGGAAGAGAGTTTCAAAGCTGACTACGAAGCTACGGGAATTGAAGCTGTGTGGCCCTGGCGGAGAGACCAGACCAGGACGGACGAGCCCAGCGGGCCACCTGGCGGCTGTTTCCACCGGGCCCGGGCCACCTCCTGGGGAGCACGTCTTTCTGAGGAGCGGTGCTGGGGACACTGGGTTCTGCATGGAGCTGGACCCCGCCTCACACCAGATGCAGAAATTAGCTCAACACGGAGCAAAGGTCCGATGTCAGAGCTGGACTGCAAGACTCAGAAGAGAACCACTGTGAGTCTGGACTCGGTACTGGCTGGCAGGGTGGGAGCCACGTCAGGGGGTAGGAAGTAGACTGAACCCCACCCACCACCGGGCCTGCTTTCTGGTGGGAGGCAGAGGCCTCACAAGCACGATGCACGGCTCAAACATTCCAAGATGTCGTCGTTTGAGGATAAATGTAAAAATGAGCAAGAGGGGGAGGAGGTGCCATCGTGCCCGCCGCCCCCGGGGCTGCGAGGGACCAGAGGCCCTCAGGGACTGCAGACACCCCCACACAAGAGCTTGGCCAACCCCAACCCCCGCTGCTCGGAGTCGGCAGGCAGCTCTCTCTGCAGCGGGCCAGGCTGCCCCAGGCGAGGTGGGCGTGAACGGCCCGGCCCAGCACCAGGAACTTTACAAGACAGCAGAGCAGATCCGCCACCCTGGTCTAACCCGAGGGATGCTCTGGCTGCCATCCGAATAAAACTGCCCTGTGCTGGGCCCGGAAGAGGCCCCTGTCCCTCCGTGGGGTTTGGAGCACACGAGGTCCAGAGTGGCAGAGACAATCCCAACATACTTGCGACCCCTGGAGCCAAACAGGCCGCGGGCACCGCAGGCTCCCGCTGGCCTCGCTCGCTCAGTCGCGGGGGATGGGTCTGCGGCTCAGGTGACGACGCGGCAGCAGGCCGGCAGAGGGCGCTCCCGCCGCGGGCGGGGGACGGGGAGCCCTGCATCACAAAGGCCCCAGCACAGGGCCGCAGGTCACAGGGCAGGCCGGCTGGCACAGAGCTGGCCCTCCAGGGCCCCCCTGCCCGCACAGGCCGCCCACATGGGGACTTTCTCCCCCGTCTCCCCCGTTTCTGTCCCCTCTTTCACTCTCAAGCCGTCACTCCCTCTTCCAGCTCTGATGTGTCACCAATGGAAAATCAGATGACCCGGTTTCTTAGGGTTCTGTCAAAGAGAAGGGGTTCCCTGGTGAGGCCTCACGGCCCATGCTGCTGTTCTGGGGACCCGGGAGTTTGGGGCTCCCCTTGTTTCCCACCAATGGAAAGTGTATTTGGCAAAAAGGAATTTTGTGCATCTCTTAAACATTAAAATCCCATCCCAACAAAGACAAACTGAGCAAGCTCCCTAGTTCCCAAGGACGCATGGAGCCCCTGTGGATGCGGTGGACACTTCTAAATGCTTTTAGTGCTTAAATATGAGAAAAAGTAAGGATTACAGACTTACACTGAGCTTGTTTAAACAGAAGCCCTCAAGTTAAAGAAAGAATATAAAGCATCTAATGAACCAGACAGACTCATTAGCTAGACCTCCCCAGGCAGTGATGTGAATTCTTAGAGAAAAAGAGCGAAGTCTGTGGGACTCGCCTCCCGATCCCTGTGGGTACCTCTCCTCATCTCTGAGCTCTAATTTGTGGGGAGACTATCTCCAGACAGATAAGTTTTCCAGCATCCTGACATCCTGACACCCGCGTGGCAATGGGCATAAACTATGCTGTGAAACCCTGAACCTGTGGCGCCCAGATCCAGTGCAGACACAGACGCCACGTGCGCTCCCCTCGGCGGCTGCCGAACACAGGCCACGTCACGGCTTCCCTGACCCGCTGAACGGTGCCGGTTCACGTGACACGCACCGCCGGTGCCGCTTTACGAAACTCTCCTTAAAGGAGAAAAAGAACAAAACAGTGCAGCGTAATCCGTTTAGAATCATGTGAGACTTTAAAATTCCACAAAGGCTGGCTGATTAGAATGAAGCGAAGGCCGTCGAGCTTGAAGGACACGCTTCAGGAGAGGCACAGCAGAACACACGCAGACGTGCGACCTCACCTTACGCACATGCCAGGCAGCACCAACGTCTTGCTACAGCCGCTGCTGCTGGAGGGGGGTCGCTCGCAGCACGGGGGGCTGTCACCTGCATGTCAGAGGCCCAGTTCCCGAAGGCAGGAGAGCCACCGCGATCAGAGTCGGCCACACACCGTCTTCTAAACCAGCCAGAAGTCGCCTTCGCTTAGCTTGGCCGCATATCTTCAGGTGAACGTCACACACACTGAAGGGTCTGGGTGTTGTGGCTGAACCCTCGCATTTCATGGAAAATGAAACTGAGCGCTACGGCCGTCACACAGCTGACGGAAGGCCACGCAGCTGGCCCACAGCGCGTACTTCAGTGAGACGGGGCGGGCCCGCTCAGGGTCAAGCCTCCAGTGCTTTCTTACCGGGTCCACTGTCCACCTGCAGTGTGGCCTGAGCCCGGGACCTCAGGGCCAGCCCACCTCTGCTCCCTTCAACCAGCACTGCTGCATCTGACCCCGGGGGCAAGACGAGCTGCCCTCTCGCGCTACTCCTGGCCCTTGTCAACGGAGAAGGAGCATGTGGCATCCCCAGGCCAATCACCACAGCTGGCACTCTCGTCAGCCAATTCTGGATCGGGCGACCCGTGCTGACGAGGTGAAAATCACGCGCAGAGCCCCTGCAGGAAGCACAGCAGGGTGGCCCGGCCTGGCTCAGTGCGGCCCGGGAGTCACCAGGGTAGAGCTGCCCGCGGCCGGCAGAGCGCGCGCTGGCCCCAGGGAGCGGTGTCCCTGCCCAGTGGCCCCCTCGCCTCCCCCGGTGCTGAATGGGAGGCCCAAGGGGAGCTATGTAGGTAAATGGGAGATGGCGGGGGCCTCCCAGGGCAGGGGTCCCTAGATGCCTGGCGAGCAGTCCAAATCGGAAGTGCCCTGTGGCCAGGACGCCAGGACAGAGCTGCACCCATCCCGGATGGGTCACTCCGATTGGAATCCCCTCTGTCACACCCTCTTGTTATATGGAAACCTGTGGCTGCTTTCCTTTCTCCCTAATTGGGCATTTCCATGATTTAAAAAAGACGTGTGCTCCTTGTACGTAAAACGCTCACTCCTTCCCGTGGACACACCGTGCCTGGCCCTCCCGGGCACCCAGCCTATCCCCTGGACCCCATGTCTTCCTCCTTCATAACTGGTTCCCTGACTTTATGGAGTGTCTTCCAGGAAACTCCTGAGAAGTTTCGTGGGAGAGAGCTGTTTTGAGCCCTACACGGCAAAGTCCTTGGATTGTCACAGAGCGGGTACTTTGGTCAGACGCACAGCTCAACATGAAGACTGTGTCTGTGAGGATGTGGAAGCCCGTGTCCTGGGAGCTCCTGGACTCGTCTGTGCTGCTGAGAAAGCCGAGACCACACGTTCCTGCCTGCATGCCTGTCCCCCAGGCTCGACCCTGGGCGAGGGCCCTCTCCCCCGTGCTGGACCCCGGAGGCCCTCACAGCCTGGCGCCCACAGCCTGGCGCCCACAGCCTGGGTTCCGGGAAACTTGCTGGATTACGCTCACGTCTTTACTTCTCTCTACTCAAAAAGGCCTCTCCTTATACTGGCTGCGCTGTGTGAGCCAGAGAGGGCTGGGAACTGGGCTTCCCACACCCCTTCTCAGCCAGAGCCCCCGACAGCTGCAGAGGGGAGAGGCCTGTGCACGTCAGACAGCAGAATGAAGATGAAGCCTGCTGGCATCCCCAAAGTCACAGTGGTTGGGCAGCTGACATGTGCATGGTGCCCAGCCCGTCTCCCACGCGGGCCTCGCACAGCACCAGCGACCCCCACACACTTCTACGCAGTCCGTGGTCAAGGAGGAAATCTTGGAAATGACCACACGTTGAAGCGAATGAGAACGAACGTACGCAAAATCGTGAGACGCGGTTCGACTGCAAAGGGAAGTTCGCAGCGCTACATGCTTAGCTTAAACGTGAGACCTCAAAACAAAACCTAAGCTCCCACCTTTAGAAACTAGCAAAAAAAGAGCCCGAAACAAACCCAGAGCAAGCAAAAGAAAGAAGTAATAAAGAGCAGAAATGAGTATAATTGAAAACAGAAACATAGAGAAAATTAAACAAACCAAAAGCTGCTTCCTTACAAAGGTTAATAATATTGATAAACCTCTAGCAAGACTGATTTTAAAAAGGAAGAGAATCCAAATTACTAATATCAAAAATGAAAGAAGGAATATTACTACAGACACAGACACTGAAAGGACCACAGAGAATACCAGCAAATAACTCTAAGCACATAAACTTGACAATTTGGATGAAATGGATCAACTCCTTGAAAATCACTAACTACCCAAACTTGACTAGGATGAGATACAGAACCTGTATTTCTTTCTATATGTTAGCAATGAACGACCAGAAACCAAAATCGGAAACACAATAGCATTTATGATTGCTCCAAAAAATGCTGAAAACTACAAATGCTAATAAAAAAAAGGCAAAGAAGATTTGGACAGCCAGACAAACCACATCCGTGGCGGAACAGCTCAACATGGCGAAGGTGCCGGTCCTCCCCAAACTGGCCCTGTGGGGAAACGCACGTCCTTCCAAACTCCAGCTGGACTCTGCGGACAGACAAGCTGATCCCATGTGTGGACAGAAGGGAGTGGGATGATAAGAAACATCTGGCCTTCGTCCCGATTCCCGGCACAGAGCTCCTGGGACCGTCAGAATTTCCTGAGTGACAGCAGTGTCTTCTGCCGTTCCTGAGCCACTACTGAGCACACCGAGTTTGTGCCAACAGGGGACTCGGATGGGGCTGGTGACCCGACCAAGTGATTAGAATCTGGAGCTTTCAGCCCCAGCTGCTGCCCTCTTGCACACCGAGACCTGACGAGCTTCTGGGATGAGAGCCACATCCACTGCTGGGAGGGTGGCCAGCCCAACTCCACTGGGACAGAAGCCCCTGAACTCAGGACCCGTCCGGACCTCACCCTGTAACCTCTTCATGTGGCTGTTCATTTGTGTCCTTTACCACGTCCTTTACGATGAGCTGGTAGCAGGTGAGCGATGCCTCACTGAGTTCTGTGAGCCGCTCTGGCAAATAATCGAACCCTAGGAAGGGGTTGAGGGAACCTTCGATTTATAGCCAGCTGGTCAGAAGCATGGGTGACAGCATGGACTTGTGGCTGGCAGCTGAGGGGGGTGGGACAGCCTTGTGGGACTGAGCCGCTAACCTGTGGAGTCTGATGTGAACCCCAGGCTGGCAGTGTCGGAACCGAGTTAGACGGTCGAACACCTGTCTGTGTCCACTCAGGGCTGCAGAATTGCTTAGTATTGTGCAAAATATACAGGAAAAGGCAAAGGAACCAGAAAAACTGAAAATCACTCTATGAAAGAATGAAAGTGGAGAAATCATGCTGCCTGATCTTAAACTTACTCTGCAGCTATAGCAACCACGACAGAGCAGTGTGACGGAATGACGGACACGCAGACCAACGGGACAGAACTGCGTCCAGGAGCAGGCCCCACAAGCGTGGCCCGCCCACTTCTGACAAAGGTCCAAAAGCGAGTCTCTGGATCTGTGGAGGGAAGGTAGTATTCTCAACAAAAAAGTGTGAGGACATTTGGACATTTGTGGAAAAAAAAAAAGAAAGGAAGAAAAGAAAAAAAGGGGAAAAAAAGAATCTTGACCTAAAAATCAACGTAAGACGAGTCACGGCTCTAAACGTCAAGTGCACAGCTATGAGGCTGCTGGGAGAACCCTTGGCGACCTGGCGAGGTGAGGCGTTTTCAGATGCTGACGCCCAAAGCACGGCTGTTTTCAAAACCTATCAGCTGAACTTTGTCAAAATTAAAAATCTCTGCTCTGCGAAAGACTGTCTAGTGGGTGAAAAGGAAAGCCACAGATTACAAGGAAATACCTGCAAATTGCAAATCACATATCCCGCCAGGGACTTCTGTCTGAAAGGGAACCCTCAAACTCCACAGCGAGGAAACTGACGACCCAGTGGGAAAAGGCAAGAGTCTGCAGAGACGCCTCTCCAAAGACACGCAGCCGTCGAGCAAGCACAGGGAAAGGTGTTCGGCACCACTGGTCGTCGGGGACGTTCGGGTGAGGTGCCACATGGCCAGAATGGCGCCAGCAAAACCCCGCAACAGTGTGTCGCTGTCACTGCGGGGGGCAATGGCAGGCCGCGCTGGGAACAGTTTGGCAGAGTCTTGAGCTGCACCGTGAACACGCTGTGCCGACGGTGAGTTTCACCCACAGAGAGAACGCGAACGCTCCTGCCAGCCCTCCACGGAGTCGGCTGTGATTCTGTTCAGAAGCGCGTAGTGAGACCAGCGCTCTGTAAGGAAGCGGCACGGCCCGGAGTCAGGAGCCCGCGGCCGGCGCTCCCCACGGGGAAGGCCCAGAGAGGCAGCTCCGTGGGTGACGGGGCCTGCAAACTGTACTGCTGACATCACGCGCCGACCGAAAGACGAAAAGCAAGCGGCAGAGGTGCAGCCGGGCCCGCGGCACTGCTCCCGAGGCCGTCACGCTAGTCTGGCGTTGAGAGCCGTGGCCCGCCCTTCCGGCACCGTCACAGCCTGGAGAGGCCCCCAGGTGGCCGACACCCTGAGATGCCCTGCACGCCCCTCCGTGAGCACGGACGCGCTGCTCTCCAGCAATGAAGCCACCAGACCCTCACGGGGCGACGGTGTCAGAGAGCCGGCAAACGCACACACGTCGTGGCACAGCTGAAACGCGAGAGATGCGGGTTTGGTGATGGGAGGGAACCGGTGGCCGCCGCTCCGGCACACACAGGGCTGACTGGAAGCGGTGAACAGCTCGGATCACCCAAGGCACAGAGCGTGTCCCAGGCCTGTCCACGGGCAGACATCCTCATCACAAGAGTCCAATGGATGGAAAGTCTGAGCCGTAAAGCAGCTCTAACTTCAGAAGCTAAGTGTCACCAAATCATTCCATTCTGCAAGATTTGTTTTCAAAATTCAGAGTTGAGAAAACAGTGCTCCCTTGCACAGCAGGGTCACGGGAATCTGCAATGCGGACACCTTGTGAGGGCAGAGGTGCCTTCCCAGGCCTCTGATCCATGTCCTGGTGGGTGTGGGGTGGCTGCTCCCCTTGCCCCTCCACCCCGCCCTGAGCCCTGCCCTGCAGGGCACACTGCCACGGTCCGGCTGTGGGGAGCTTCTGGGAGCAGCTGGCCCTGGACGCAGAGTCTGGTGTCTGCCATCTGCAGGGCAGCCAGGGCCGGGTGAGGGGCAGGGCCCACCGTGCCAGGTGTCTGTTTTGGGGTGATCCGTCATGCAGCATCATGTGGCTGCTAATACACTGCAGCAGATGAATAGAGAATGCTTGTTTGGGTGTTGTCCCCGTTACTGTTCTCAGGACAGGACCCATCAATGTCCCAGGGCTTTGGGACCCCCACAGTGGACACCGAGAGCACCTCTCCCCATCTGCCCCAGGCCACTGCACCCCTCACCAGTAGTCCTGTCTGAGGCCCGCCCACACCCCCTCCAGCTCAGGGCCAGCTCCTGACAGCCCGATGGACAGCTCGACACAGACAGTATGTTTCTGCCCCCCAGACCAGCAGCCTCCAGGTGGCCGACCTTGGGGATGGCCCCTCCCAATAGAGCTCGGCCCTCCCGCTCCCATCTCGAGCCCTCTGGCTCCGTCCCCCTCCCAGACAGGTTCCTCTGAAATGCTGTCCCCTCTCCAGTGAGCACCTGGCACCCAGGAGGTGGACAAACCCAGAGGCTAAAGAATGAACCAATTCCTGATGCCGGCGGCGGGGAAGCACCTGGGTGAGCAGCTGGTCGGCCGCCAGCTGGTTGATCCAACGCGTGTACCGTCCTGTGGAGCTGGGGGGCTCTCTCCTCACCTGGCAGCCTATAATCTGCAAAAGAGTGACACACAGAACTTAGCAGGCGGTGTGAGTTCACACACGCACACACCTGCCTGTGTGCCCTTCACCTGGCGTACGCTGGCATGTCTGGGTCGGGTTAGGGGAACTTCTTGGAGGGACAGGCGCATTCTGGGACGGTCCTGAGTCGTGCCTGTCACAGCACTGAACAGCTGACCTGCCCTTGGCTGGGCTGAAGACTGGCCACAGATAACACTTCCCCCTTCAATACATTCAAATGAAAAGGACCAACATGCAACTTCAAACCCAGCTACCTCCAGAAACGCCCTTCCTGAGCCCTAACTCAGAGTGCACAGCAGGTCCCCGCGGCGCCTCTGGGCAGCAAGCCTGGACAGTGCCAGATCTCGCCTCCCAAAAGCAGTGCCCTCTAGTAAAGCAGAGCCGCAATGCTAAGAGCTCGCTCCCCAGGGCTGCCTCCCTGTCCGGCGCGCACGGGGCCACCACACAGGCGCCCCCCTCCCAGGAGGACCCGCTTAGCCAGCCCTGCCTCCTCCTGGCCATCCACCAGTTCCCTCCACACCACTGGCCCCGTCCTGCCCTCCAACGGCACTGCCGTG